AAAAACTGAAATAAAAGAAAGATAAATAAAAGTGAGGTAGAACAATTGAGACTGGGGGAAAAGAAAGAGTGTAGGAGTGAGAGAGAGAGAGAGAGGTAAAGAAGGAGAGAGAAAAAGTGAGAGAGAAAGAAAGATAAAAAGAGAGAGAAGAAGTGAGAGAGAGAGAGAAATAGATGCCATAGAAAAATAATGAAAGAAAATGAGATAAAAGAGGGATAAAGAAAACAGAGGTAGAACCAATGAGGCAGAGAGAGAGAGGGGGAGGAGAGAGAGAAAGAGAGTAGGAGAGAGAGAGGGGAGAGAGAGTGAAAGAGAGTAGGGGAGAGAGGGGGGAGAGAGAGGAGAGAGAGAGGAGAGAGGGGGGAAAGAGAGAGAGGGAGAGAGGAGAGAGGAGAGAGAGGGGAGAGAGAGGGAGAGAGAGGGGAGAGAGAGGGGGAGAGAGAGGAGGGAGAGAGGGGGGAGAGGGGGGAAAGAGAGAGAGAGAGAGGGAGAGGGGAGAGAGAGGGAGAGAGAGAGGGGAGAGAGGGGAAAGAGAGAGGAGAGAGAGGGGAAAGAGAGGAAAGAGAGAGAGGGAGAGAGGGGGGGAAGAGAGTAGGGAGAGAGAGGGAGAGAGGGGAAAGAGAGAGAGAGAGAGAGAGGAGAGAGGGGGAAAGAGAGTGGGAGAGAGAGGGGGAGAGAGAGGGGAGAGAGAGGGGGAAGAGAGGGGAGAGAGAGGGGAGAGAGAGAGGGGAAAGAGAGTGGGAGAGAGAGGAGAGAGAGGGGGAAAGAGAGTAGGAGAGAGAGAGGGGAGAGAGAGGGAAAGAGAGTAGGGGAGAGAGAGGGGAGAGAGAGAGGGGGAAATAGAGTAGGAGAGAGAGAGAGAGAGGGGAGAGAGAGATGGAAAGAGAGTAGGAGAGAGAGAACGAAAGACAAAGCGAGTAGGAGAGAGAGAGAATGAGAAGTACGAGGAATACAGGAAAGTGCGTAAACGAAAAAAAAATGAATTTATACGCAGCAAGAGTGAGAGGTTTCGAGAAGTTATCCTCTATACCAGTCAGTTAACTGCCATCACGTGATATTCATGACTGGCCAGGCCGTAAACCATCCCGCAGTAGGCTGCCGTTTCTTTCTGAGGTAGACTGGCTGCCAACCAAGGCTACAGGATTCTATTACTCAGCCCATAGCTCGGACGGAGCGAAGAGATAATTTCATACTTTTACCAAGGGTATTGGCGCCTAAATGAATGTAACGAACCTGACTGGAGTTCGAACTCTGCTCTCCGATTTCTAATTTCGAGCCAATATCCATTACACCACAACACACGTCTACGCCTGAATGAACTGTTGAGTTATCGCCCTTGAAACTAGAAGGGCTACAGTCGCCAAAGGGCGTACTATTAGCTGACTATAAAAGTTACCACTGTTTACAATGAGACTCGGGTATTTTTAGGAATCGTTCAGTTCGCAAATGACGATGGCTTTGCAACTGGACTCAAAAGACAGGGGATTAACAATACATATCGAACGCAATGCTGTCGTAATGTAACAACAATGAAGACAATAATCCAAATTGCAAACAGAATAATTAACTTCAGCCATATCAGAAATATATATATATATATATATATATATATATATATATAGATAGATAGATAGATAGATAGATAGATATAGATACCAACAAAAAAAATGAATTTCGGTCGAGCACTTTAGAGAGAAAGCGCGAATTTGATATATTTGTTTAACTCAGTTCTTTTTTTGTGTCTTTATTTCTGGCCTAAACCATGCCACATCAGAAAGAATACATTATTAAATATGACAGGCTATAAACTATTTATACATTAGCATGTCTGTTCGAATTTGGTATTGAAATCCCTGATACATGGTAAAGTCTCCACCCGGATCATGATGGAGTGCCTATTCTCTGGAATTTCCCGATCCTCACAGGCAAATAAATTGATGCAAATGGTCCAGACATTGTCATAAAAGATTTCAAATTAAGGGACCTGATAACTAATTGATGTGATTTGGTAACAGGATTCCGATGTTTCTGGGAAAAAAAGAAGTTTCAAAACTTTCAAATAATAGGGACCTGCAAATCAAAGTAACTAAAATGTGGAAACTTAAAACAAAAATTATCCCCGTTGTGAAAGAGTGTCGGATAAGATAAAGAAGGTTACTGGAAATGATGTAAGTATAAATTCCTGGATATATCATCTTCTCGGAACCACAAAAGATCACTTGGTGTGGAACTGCACATATTATCCGCAAAACCTTCTATAACTAAATGAAAAGTCCCAAACGTAGATAGATAAATCTCCTATAGTACCCTTACTCATAGTCTCTGAAACCACTTAAAATAACAACAACAAAACAACAACAATAATAATAATAATAATAATCAACAATACCTGTTGTAGTTGGATCCCGCGGATTGATTAGAAAAGATTTCAATAGACTCAATGAAGGGATTCCTGGAAGCCTTAAAGAAATACAAAATATTGTACTCACAAGTACAGCCCCCACTTTACGAAGGGCTTTATCTATAAAAAAATTGGCGTGATTTTTTTTTTAAATTGCTCAGTAGAATATATCATGCTGCCATTTGTGAACTTAGGTCTCTGGGCGGGACCCGGAAAGAGATGAGTACACACCTGGAATCCAAGGAAATAATAATAATAATAATAATAATAATAATAATAATAATAATAAACTAAGAAAATACAAAGATCGTGAAATGGAAATCTCAAAAATGTGGCACATGAGGACATCATTTTGAAGCGCTTGGGTTCATTGAAAAAGGATCCGATAGACTCATTGAAGGGATTCCTGGAAGCCCATACCTTAAAGAAGTACAAAACATTGTTTTCACGAGTACAGCATACACTTTACGAGGGGCTTTTTTTAATTGCTCAGTAGAATATATCATGCTGCCATTTGTGAACTTAGGTCTCTGGGAGGGATCCGGAAAGAGATGAGTACACACCTGGAATCAAAAAAAAAATACTACCACTGCTACTACTACTACTACTACTAATACTACTACTACTACTACTAATAATAATAATAAAGATACTATGAAAATACAAGGATGTTGAAATGGAAATCTCAAAAATGTGGCACATGAGGGCATCATTTTGGAGCTCTTGGATTGATTGGAAAAGGATCCGATAGACTTATCGAAGGGATTCCTGGAAGACCATACCTTAAAGAAATATAAAAAAAATTGTACTCACAAGTACAGTTCATAATTTACGAAGAGCTTTATCTATGTAAAATTTGTGTGATCTTATTTATTTTTCATTAACAAAAATGATCAGTGGAAAATGTCTTGAAGCATTTTATGATCTTAGTTCTCAGGTTCAGAGCCGGAAGGAAATGTGTATACAACAGAAATCAAAGGAAATAATAATAATAATAATAATAATAATAATAATAATAAAGGCTATCAACACCTTAGCTATATCCATAGTAACATACAGCTTCAACATTATTAATTGGAAGTTGAATGGCATTAAATGATAGGGAGCCAACACCAGGAAATTGCTTCTCCAAATGAGTATCCACTCCATTAACAAAGAAGCTGTACTCTTCAAGAAACAGATTAATATAGTGGAAACTCCACCAACAAAAAACGAAGTGAATACCATCAAGGCCAAACAAGAAAAACAGGAAGCAGACAACTTGGCCAAATGAAATTACAAAAAACAAGGAAAAAAAATAGGCAAAGTGTTGTATGGCAAATTCCTAAAAAGAACGAAAGAAGCAGATGTGGACCAAAAGAAAACACATCAGTGGCTGAGGTGCACCGAGCTGAAAGCTGAGAGAGAAGCCTCAGGAACAAAGTTTCGCAACCAGATCCTATCACAGTCAGATAATCAAGGATGCAACTAACCCGAAATGCAGGATTTCCGGTAAAATGATGAAACTTTCGATCATATTATCTGAGGAGTTCCGGAACTGGCAAAATATGAATAGAGTCTGAGACAAAACAATGTAGCGACATATGTGCATTGGGAGATATGAAAGAAGCACAAAATCGAAACCACTGAGAGATGATACGAGCACCAACCAGACACAATTACCCAAAATAACGATGTAACTATCCTCTGGGACATGCCAATTCAAACTGACAGGGAAATAAAAGACCAGATAAAAGACAAGAAATTCTGGAAGTGTTTGCTTATTGAAATAGCAGTACCATCTGAGAGACACACCTCTATGAAAATTATTGAGAAATTGTCCAAATACAAGAACCTGGAGATGGAGATTAAGACCGAGGCTGTACCAATAGTAATCGGAGCACTGGGCCTCGTGAGAAAAGGAATGGACAATTTTACTAACAGTGTCCCAGGTAACATCAACGTAAAAATTGCCCAGAAGATCGCTCTGCTGGGAACATCCCATATACTAAGTAAAGTGCTATCAATTAAATGACAATTCTCCTATAGGTCCTAAGGATCATAGTTTGAACCTGGCTCTATAGGATACAAAGCAGGACACATAACACACATAAATGATGATGTTGATGATAATAATAATAATAATAATAATAATAATAAAGTGCCTCCTTATTGATATGGCAGTCGCTGCTGACTGCAATGTATCTTTGTAGATATTCAAAAAGCTGCCAAAATCCAAGGACCTTGAAATAGAAATCTCAAAAATGTGGCATATGGGAACATCAACAATCCCTGTTGTAGTTGGAGCCCTGGGACTGGTTGGAAAAAATGCAGTAGACTAATTGAAGGGATTCCTGTAAGTCCATGCCTCAAAGAGATACAAAAAATTGTTCTGACAAGTACAGCCCATTCTTTACGAAGGGCTTTATCTATGTAATATATTTTTTTTATATATATATTTTGTCAGTGGAAAGTGTTATGATGCCATTTCTAACCCTAGGTCCCTGGGCTGGACCCGGAAAGAAATGTGTAAACGCCAGAAATGAAAGAAAATGAAAATAATAATAATAATTGTCATATTTAAATATTTTTATTATAAGTGTTATTAAAAGTTATAAATATGTTAACGAAGCCTGGTTTTTCAGTGTCTTGAGAAAACCAACATTGCAACCATCGGATAAGCTAGGGTCTGATGTGATAAGTACTCATTCATTTCCTTAGTCGATCATGTATTTAATTTCGATACATAACAAGACGAGGCAAACAAATGATTTCCTTAGATTTTTTCCTCCGCAGTTGCCATTTCTTTTTTATAATCACCACAAGTATGCCAATAGTAAAACTGCCATCCAAATTGTATATTACAAAAAAGTCCAATGAAATTTGACCATTCGCTGGAGAATAATTAATAAAAAGATGATTCTATATTTTTCTATTCGTGATACACGTGAATGTAATGTTTTTTTCCACCAGACTTTTTGGAATTCGAAGTTGCCATCAAAGCTATAGAAACTCCGATTACACAGTCTGAGCCACTATCCATTACTCCACTGTCCCTCCTAAAATGTTTTAAATTTGCATTGTTTACTGCACTGTATAATATAGTTGTTCAGTATACGTTCCTTTTGAAGTAAATGAATGTCTTTATTCTCACAACGATTTACTAATAATGTGGTTGTGCCAGGCTTCTTCAACATACAGAATCTGAAAAGATTCGGTAAATAATAAATTTTATAAGGCGGTGTTATAAGGCTTTTATTGATCACTGGATTAACATTCCAACGTTACCATTTTGAACGTGAAATTAATCTTTAAATTCATTTCCTCAAAAAAACGGTAATGATTTGGAAAATACTGTCATGTCCCTATTTATTATGTCAAAATCGCAACTTTTAAATTGAGTGTAATACCACGGTTCCAAAATCGACCTTCGTTAGTGTATATATCTTCATGTTACGTTTAAACTTTGCTGAAATAATTTCTTTAAATAATGCAATATGGATTCGTTTTAAGACATCTTGCATTATTTAAAGAAATTAAATTAAATTGTTCAAAGATAAAAACAATTGAAATTTTCAAAAGTGCCACATGCAGTATATATATATATATATATATATATATATATATATGTTTATTCGAAAATTATAACATAAATATGTTATAAAAATCACTACAAAAATAGCCATTTTGTTTCAACACTTCTGTTGTCTTATTACCAGAAACGTTGAAACAAAATGGATATTTTTCTAATAATTTTAATAAAAATTTGTTGAATAATAATAAAATATTTTCGAATAAATAATTATATTTGCTCTATTCTGTATTGAGCACTCTTTTAAGAATAGTATTCGTTGGTTATTGGAATTTATTCCGTATACACCAATCCTATACTTGGATATATATATATATATATATATATATATATATATATATATGTGTGTGTGTGTGTGTGTGTGTGTGTGTGTGTGTGTGTGTGTGTGTGTGAAAAACATACAAATTAATCAAAATCACCTCCAAAGCCATCATGGATATAATAGGACGGAAAAAGACCCATAACAATAATAATTCAGAAGCAGGCTTATATAAAATTAATTGCCAAACCTGTTCCTCACAATACATTGGGGAAACATGCTGAAATGAAAAAAAAAAAAAAATAAACGAATCTATGAATATAAAAGGGACCTTATGCATAATAATTTATTAAATGCACTAGTCATACACAGAAAGAACTTCAACCACAAGTTTGCTCTAAATTCCATACTCATCAAAACAAAATGTAATTTGCTGAGAACGAAAATTCTCGAGAGTGACTATGGAATCTTATCAAAATATGAATCTACGACCCGCTTTCTTTCTAATCTCACCTTTTCTGAAAGAATGAACTTTTTTTCCAAGCCAACATACACGACAACAAATATGTTGAAAAATCAAAAGAAAACGGTTATATCCATTAACTTAAATTTCGAAGATGCATCTATCCTTCCCATATCATAACAATTTAAACAAATTTTAAACAAAAAAATCTTATGTATGTCGTGAATATTCCTCGCTTATTTTTTACCAAAATTTCAATTATGACATTTTGTGTCCTCCACATGTTTTGATTGAACTTTCAATCACCTGAAAAACATTCATGAACGTTCTCAAGTTTAAAAGCTTTGATAAAACAATGACATCAGTGCTCTTGTATATAAATACGTGCAAGAAAATAAATTCTTACATTTGCCTTGAGAGAGTCATTCAAAGGGCGAAACGCGTCGGCTAAGAATAGTTTTTCCTCTTGTCTTTTACTTATTTTGTTCTTTTATAGATATACTCTATCTGAACATAATTCATATATATATATATATATATATATATATATATATATATATATATATATATATATATATATATATATTATAATGCTTTTCTTTTTGAAAATATGATTCCATCAAGATACAGAAAGTTTCCATGTTACTAAACTGAAACTAAATTTATAAATTTAATTATAAAAATTTAACTTAAAATTCATAGTCTCATTCCATTGTCAAGCGATGTTCTTTTTTTATTATATATATATATATATATATATATATATATATATATATATATATATATATATTTTTCTCATTGCTACCTAAGGGCGGCGGCAAGTTCTCAATCATTTCGCTGTTGAAATGGTTCGATGTAAACGTAAGTTCTATGCTAACAGTTTCTTCTCTCGCACCTCTTCACTTGTTGAAATCTCTTCTGGGTTCCCGCTTTCAAGTCAACTTTAACCTTGAAAATGAACTTCTGTCCTCTTAATTCTAATTACTATTATCAAAATTTCTATCAGTAATAATTTCTCGACAATTCCTCAACTGAATTTACTATTCTAGACATCTGCATTAAGTCAAGTGTTAGTCGTTCATTTTGCGTTCGGTTTGGTTTATTTTGTTTTACGGTATATCAACCTCAATGGTTTATTTAATTCCGTCAATCTTTTTATGACAGTTTCCTATGAATAGAATGTGTATTCTTTGTAAGAAGTCAGTTTATACATCAGTGATAGGGTTTATTTTGCTTTACGGCAGATCAACACCTCAATGGGTTATTTAATGCTGACAAGATTTTTTTAGGATAGATTCATATGAATAGAATATGTATTCTTTGTAAGAAATCAGTTTGTAGATCAGGGTTTGGGTTTATTTTATTTTACGGCTTATCAACCTCAATGCGTTATTTAATGCCGACAAGATTTTTAGGATAGGTTCGTATGAATAGAATATGTAAACTTTAAAAGAAATCAATTTGTATATCAGGGTTTTGGTTTATTTTGTTTTACGATATATCAACCTCAATGTGTTATTTAATGCCGATAAGATTTTTAGGATAGATTCGTATGAATAGAACATTTATTCTTTGTAAGAAATCAGTTTGTAAATCAGGGTTTGGATTTATTTTGTTTTACGGTATATCAACCTCAATGCGTTATTTAATGCCGACAAGATGTTTTATTGCTGGTATTTTTTTCAAAACATGTATTGCAGGTCTCACAACCTATTTTCATAGCATTTTGACACCAGTTTTGGGGTTAACTATTTGCTATTTTGGGGTTAACAGGTGATACCATCTCGGGTCAGGGTGGATCTGGGAACACCAGCAATTTAGTGGTGCCTCCACTCTCCTCAAAACCTCTTGATCAGAGGTCTTGCTGCCAGATGTAATTTATCTTCGCACTCAGGACGCCTGATTGGGGTGTGGGTTCTTACCCCTCTGCAGAGGTACAGTCGGTTTATTCTGAACCTCCAGCTGACAGGTCGAACGTTCAGTTCCAAGTGAGAAAAAAGTGAAATCATTTTTAGTCTGTCGGGTCATGGTATATTTTTAATTTCAGGAATCCTATTCGTGAAGCGTTTTTGTAGGTTTATTCTTCTTCTTAGCAATCACCATGTCCCTTCAGAACGTCGGCGATCAAGGCTCTACACCACTTCCTGTCCATTTAAAAAAAATTGTCTTTTTTGTTATTTCCCCAAAACCCAGTTCTGCCATCCATTTGCTCAAGACCATCAAGTATGTTACACGTTGCTTTCCTCTGTCCATCTTTCCTTTAATTTGTCCTTGTGAGTATCAGATTTTCCAAGTCGTCCTTCCTCATTATGTGCCCTAGAAATTTTAACTGTCTCTTCCCGATGGTTTCCTTTTGTTTCCTCTCCAAAACATCGTTGTTGCTAACATGTTCGACCCATGGTGTCAAGAGCATTTTTCTGCTGTACAGCTGGACAGATATCACGTAACAGTTCAGTACTCTTTTCTTTGTTTCCAAAGAAACTTTTCTGTCTCACAATACGCTGCTTAGCTTACGGAATGCAGGCTAGGCCATGTCAGTACGTCTTCGGATCTCAGTGTCGGACATCCGTCCTCTGTTGTGCATTTCACCCCTAACAAGGCGGGAGTGCCACTAGCGCCCAAGGGGTTACAGAGGGTAAAAGCAAGAGTAAAGAGGCCTGTTTGAGGAAAGGATACAGAGAAAGACGGGGAACAAGTCAAGGTATCAAAAAATGTCGATTGACATTACACTTAAATATTTAAAGATTATAGTTATCAGGGAAGCAAGTTAGGGGAAGGGAGTTCCACTGTCGGGAAGTGCAAGACAAGAAGCTGTTGGAGTAGAAGAGACGGCTACATTTAACCGTTTCGACAGTGAAAGCGTGGGATCGAGATGCCGACCTAGTAGCACGCTTAAATTCATGCTCTTTAGGAACCAACGAATGTAGCTCATCGAAGCAGTTGCCATGAAAATACTTGTAGAAAAGACAGAAAATACCCCCGACACGTCTATGAGATAATGACTGTAGACGAAATGCCAAATCAGGACCTATCACATTGCATATCCGTCTCTGGATTTTGTCGAGGACCTAGAGATGTACAGCGGAGGCACGAGACCATATATGACAGCAATATTCCATGCAAGAACGGATGGTTGATTTATAGATTTGAAGAATGGACTCAGACGAGAAAAAAAAACAAACTTTCTGGCACGACACATAGAGCCACCTTTCCTTGCGGTAAGTGAAGCTATTGATTCAATGTAGTTGTTCCACCTCAGGTCAGCGGACAGCGTGAGACGGCGCAGGCGCAGCGAGGTGCTCTGGTGAAGTTGCGCATCAGCCAATCTGGGAAGTCCCAGATATTTAAATCACTGTACTTGCTTGATTTTAGTAAACCCCGACCTGTAATTTCAATGGTTGAGTTGCTGATAACCATGCACTCTGTCTTTATTTTTTATAGTTTGTAGGTTTTCGACCTGCTTTTTTTTCGCGTTGAATGCAAGACGACCGCACACAGGAAAAAGAAAAAGAAGAATGGACTAGCGTTAAAGGAAGCTTAAATTAGGTTTCTTTACTTCTTTACGCTGTGTTTAAAAGCTTCTTGGCGATATGATATGAAGTGTTTAATACTTTGAATCGCGGTGTATTTAGATATTTATCTGTCAAAAACAATCCTTTTTGCTAACACGCACACCGACAGTCGATGTCTCCATTGGGAAAGTTAGCTTGGTAAGTTATTTTTGCTTGGCCCTTCATGTTAACGGTGCTCGTGTTTCGGATTTGCAAACACGACAACCTCACGTGCTTGATCGGGGAAGAATAATCTTTCTTAATTCGATATTCTAGGCTGATCTCTTCATATATATATATATATATATATATATATATATATATATATATATATATATATATATATATATATATATATATATATATATGTATAAATTTGTTGCGTCTTATTTACCTGATTATATCTATACATCTCAATTTCTGATTCTCCGAGACAAATATCTATCTATCTATCTATCTATCTATCTATCTATCTATCTATCTATCTATTTGAATCTGTTTCAGTATCTATCTATCTATCTATCTAAATCTGTTCAGTATCTATCTATCTATCTATCTATCTATCTATCTATCTATCTACCTTTATATATATATATATATATATATATATATATATATATATATATGCTAGAACAGCCTAGTCTTATCATATTTGTTTCATCCTTTCTTTTCAATAAAATGATCCAACAGTAATTAATATACACATTCCATTAACTAACTTATCTATCTATCTATCTATCTATCTATCTATCTATCTATCTATCTATCTATCTCTTAAGATCTGTCTCAGTGCACAGAATCTATCTATCTATCTATCTATCTATCTATCTACCTATCTATCTATCTATCTATCTATCATTTGGAAATATGTGTAATACATTATTATTCTCAGGCATAGACACAACTATACATCTCTCTCTCTCTCTCTCTCTCTCTATATATATATATATATATATATATATATATATATATATATATATATATATATATAAACAGTTCATTTATCTTAATTAAATCTGTACGCAGAGTTTTATGGATTTTTTCATCCAATACTCTGGAGATGTTTTTCTATGAACTAATTTTATTTTCTCTTTATCATTACACACACACACACACACAGATATATATATATATATATATATATATATATATATATAGAGAGAGAGAGAGAGAGAGAGAGAGACTTACGTGGATATATGTATATATACTAGCAGTATAACCGTGCTTGATTCAAAAATCGTACGACTCATACAGCAATCGCTATCACTTGACTTAAAATATTTTTGCCCCTCCTTGCCTTTAAAGGAGTGCCCTTTGCCCTGCTGCTGTTGCTGCATGCCTTACTTCTTGCCTATCTCACACTGCGAATTTTTATAAGCTCTATACTAAACATTAAATCTGTTACGAAAAAAGAACTAAACAAAATGAACACAAAACGATTAGATTTCAAAAAAAAGGACTCGTAACTGGAAAAACCGAATGAAAAAAGAATGTTAACAACAAATACATTTTCACACCCAACCCACTTCTGCGGAATCAGAATCAACGTTGAGTTTAAGCAAGCGAATGAACCAATTGGATTAAAGTGCCATGCAGTTTTAAATTTTTCCCACTTGTGACGTATGCAGCTATCGATTTTTTTTACACGCTAGCATGCTAGTTAAGATTCGTGTTAGTCAGCTGTTGCCTTTCACGCTGGCCAGTAGAAAATGGCTTCAAACTACATGAAAACTGCCGTAGAAGCATGAAAAAATCGATTACTTACACTATCGATGGGAGTTGGAAAATGCAAAGTCGGTCTTGGCCTTCCCACTAACTTGGAGCATGTGCATGTAAATTTTGCTGTAAATCCGTCGATATTGCGGCAGTGCATTCATTACATGCACACATCCCTGCCTTACATATATATATATATATATATATATATATATATATATATATATATATATATTTCTATGTGTGTGAATCATCAGTATATCAATGATTTAATACTTTTAAATCTAATAATTATTAAATGTTTAATAAATTTGGCCACCATTTGATCTATATATATATATATATATATATATATATATATATATATATATATGAAAATAAGTGGATACAACGTTTGAAAACGTACTATCCAGCCGGGCTTAACCATAAATTTAACAATATAGATAGTATTAATATATAAACCTACAAATCAAATCCTACCCACATTTCTCACCCACACAAGACAGACATGCTTACGGAAGTGTTGAGGCCTCACACTTATACACACACCCACACGAATATACACACATCATACTCATTCACCCCCTAAGAACCAAATAACACAGACACACACTTAACAGAGACACATCCTCTTTCCAGGAACCAATAAAACTGTTAAAATGATCAAGGGAATTCAGAGCAGCATTAATCCATCCAGTTTTTATCTCAAATAACAACTTAAAAGAGACTGTTTGACCAACATAAAAACTGACCAAAATTCACGTTAAAAAATTAAAAAAAAAACAAATGAAAACTACAGACAAAAGTTCATTTTCTCCATCAAGACATTCATTTCTGTAGTTCACTTCTATCAGCAAGCAAATAATTATTTTTCTCCTAACGATGGCCACGTTGGCCGAAACTAGTCGAGGAATCCAAAGGAAATAAAAATAAAAACGAAAGAATATTAATATACAACACAGTGTGTCTGAAGATTTTAATTTTTTAATATTTTTTATTGTTCAAAATATATATATTTATATATATATGTATATATATTATAATTATTATTAATTATATATATATAATACATAGATATTATAATATTAATGCTTACATATATATATATATATATATATATATATATATATATATATATATATATATATATGTGTGTGTGTGTGTGTGTGTTCAATATGTCGATGATGCATTCATCTTCAGGAAAAGCCAAGACGAAAATTAAAAAGAAATGAAATAATGTATTAAATAAATCTTTGAGACAAACTCTGCTTTTTTTTTACTTCGCATCTGAACCCCACTCACAGCACCCCACAAACATCATATTTATGTAATGTGGGGTCTGTACTGTACATCAATGATGACATTGTTCAAAGGTGTTTACGAAGCTATGAGGCAAAAAAAAATCTTCGACTATTGGAAAGATTAAAGTTCAGCAATATAATAATAATAATAATAATAATAATAATAATAATAGTAAAATATCATAATCTTTGAAGACTAGTAAAGGTCTGTAGATGATGAATATTTTGATATATCTATACGTTAGTTTTATAGATAGGAATATTTAAGTAAATGCTCTTTTTATAATAAACAGTATTAACAACATTTACCGGCTTGAATTTTATAGAAAATATATGACCTCCGACAAGAATCTAACCCGTATTCTGCACGTAACCGTCATATAGCCTGACGTGCTATACTATTTAGCTACAGAGGAAGAGTCTGCTTAATAATTTCGAAATACTAATTTTAAATTATGACGGTTCTGTGTAGCATACTCTTTTTTAAAACTTATTCACTGTTCTCTTTAATGAATTTTGAAGACGGTAGTCAGAGTATGAATGTTGGTATCACTACTGAAGGCCTGAATAATCTTTTTCCTCTCAACATTGTTCAGTGCGGCAGACACAAAACTATCTGAACCTGATGTTTTTCTAGCTGAATAGTATTTCTTACGACTAATGATATCAGGAAGTCGAAACGTCTTATCTTAAAACCTGTTAAAAAGAAACTATTAGTTTAGTGTTTTTTACATACTAAACATTATGTGGGATAGACAATTATCACATACTTTTTCACGATTTGGACAATCTTGCTGTTACAGCCCGTATATATATATATATATATATATATATATATATATATATATATATATATATATAATGAGAAGCTATATATATATATGTATATATAGAAAAAGTTTCAAATTAAAAAATAATAATGTTTTATTTTTTGAAAGTATTTATTTATTTATATATATATTTGATATTTCAAATTGTCCTCAATTTTTCATCAGAAATAACAGTGACGTTCCATATCACGTGACGTCCACGTCTCGCGTAGGACGCTACTTGCTAACAAACAGTAATTTTAATTTATTTGTAACAAACAGTTTATTTCTGATGAAAAATTGAGGACAATTTGAAATATCAAATATATATAAAATAAATAAATACTTTCATAAAATAAAAACATTATTATTTTTAATTTGAAACTTTTTCTATATATATATATATATATATATATATATGTGGAGACAGTATATGTGGAGAGGGAATATACGTATGCGCACGCATGCTGACAAAAACACAAAAAATGGAAATAGATCTAAAGAACACACATTAGAAGATAAGAATATAGATATTTTTCTCACTCTTTCTCGGACCAGACTTAATTGTTTTATTACCCTTCACGCAGAACCTTTTCACTGCCAGTTCAAGGAAGACAATTGGATCAGTAACACACAAAAAAGAGAATGTTTAATATCGAGAATATGTAACATCGAAAAACATAAGAAAAATTAATTCCTTTTAACAATATGTTGAAATATCCATACTTTGCCTGATGAAGGTCGCGAGTCTGGAAACCCGTGCAACAAAATTATAGAAAATAAAGCATGATATATCTAAAAAAAAAATCAACAATACAACCAAAAACGTTTGCGATTTCTTCTTTTTATTATGTATATATATATATATATATATATATATATATATATATATATAGAGAGAGAGAGAGAGAGAGAGAGAGAGAGAGAGAGAGAGAGAGGAGAGAAATTAACGGATTCCAAGCCTAATTAAAAGAAAAAAAACTAAGTATTTCTTTATGGATGTGTATAATAATTCTAGTGTGTCTATATGTGATTTACATGATAATTTCTTGCACCTTCGAAGGCACGTGTCGTCTCTCCTTGAATTCGGAATATAATATATACTAAGGTTTGCTTAGCAAGTCAGATGACCGTGAAACCATCCCCTGAAGAAGTACAATCATAGTATTGAAACCTGAAATCTTATGTGTAGCGATTTCAACATGTTTTATTATAATCTCTTATAATAAAAATAATAATTTATATATATATATATATGTATATATATATACATATATATATATATATATATATATATATATATAATATGAATATATATATATATATATATATATATATATATATATATATATATATAATATATGAATATATATAATAATTTAAATATATATATATATATATATATATATTATAATTAACTGATTTAAAAATATGGTTTCATCGCTACACAGGAATTACAATGTTTCAAAATCAAAAACTAAAGTTTTTGCTTTCTGTGTTTGAAACATGGTAATTCCTGTGTAGCGAGGAAACCATATTTTTAAATGAACTTATTTATGATATTTATGCTCTGTTAATTTACATTGAGCACTGTTTTATAAAAATATCTATAAGAACAACGGATTATATATCTTACTGTCCTTTCTTTTCTTTTACTATATATATATATATATATATATATATATATAACGTGTATTTAAATCTGGAAATTTTACGTGGCAGCGTCGTACCATGATAGCGTAGAGAGGTTTCGCGTGTGCTGGTAGAACGTTCTACACCTCAGTAGCTGTCTGGCCATTGACGCAAGATGTGCTTATTAATCGACATGTCCTCAGCATACCGTCGTCGAGCTGCTGTTGGGGAGAACCTTTGCATCGGCCACAAAGCCAAGGAGATCATTGAATGGTTTACATAGCGTAAATCCATCGTCTACAACCTTGCAAAGGTGTATTTGGCCTCAGACGACACGACGCATAGGAAGCGTTCTGGCGCCAACAGGAGCCCCCGAGACCTTCACCAACGTATCCCAGGAGAAACCCAGCAAGAACATAAGTAGAATCACTATGGAAATGGAAAACAACAAACGGACAATCACGCATATCTTCAAGAAGGACTTGAATTATAAATCTTATGTGCTCAAGTGGCACAATTTACTCACAGTTCCACTTGTCGCCCGACTGATGGCTGCCGTGTTCGCCAGACTTCAATCCTCTCGAATATTTTGGAGAGCAAGGTGAAGAGCAACACCAAGGCGGCCATCAAGGTAGACATAATCAATATGGAGAGGAAAGTCGTAACCAAGTCCTTCTCCAGCTTCCGGTCCAATCTGGCGAAAGTGGTGGCCGTCAATGGTGGCAGTCGATGGTGGCCACATCGAGTGTCTTTTCTACCTGATATATGTGCCGAAATGTGTATAAATTGTCATTGAAATATATTAATTTGTTATACAAAAACACTTTTTTTTATTTTCCGGAATTATCCACTCTACACTGTATGTATAATATTGTTATATGGACACTATATTTATGGTAAAAAGTGATCAAAATCAGGGATTGTGTATGTGAATATAAGCTATAAAAGAAAGCACATTTCATATTACCTATCTATCTATCTATCTATCTATCTATATATATATATATATATATATATATATATATATATATATATAAAAGAGAGGGGGAGAGAGAGGGAGGGAGAGAGAGGTACGGTGCAGAAATCGATAGCTGCTCGGATTGAGGAATCGGAGAGCCGAGTTCGAATTCCAGTCGAATCTGTTACATTCACTTACGTGCTAATACCAATGCGAAAGATATGAATCCTCTTCTTCTCTCCCCAGCTATGGGTGATTAGCAGGATCTATCTATCTGGTATATATATATATATATAGCCGAGTTTGAATTCCAGTCACATAACTGTTTAACTTTCTGACTGAGAATATATATATATATATATATATATATATATATATATATATATATATATATATGTATATAGTAATACTCGGTTGGAAAACAATTCAGATGGCACGACTTGAAGAAATGTCAAAACAAATCTGTACCCGAGAAAAATTTGAAAAAAAGAAAGTACTAAAAACATCAAAAGATGGCGAAACAAATAGTTCTGTCCCTTAAGTCTTTAGTCCAAAGACAAAAAAAAAACAAAAAAACAAGCGAGTAGTAAAGCGAAAACTCTAAAGCGATACGTGACTGACGAGAAGTATGCAACAGACAATAAATGGCATATGGTTCTGTAGATATTTCGTTCTCTCGCGTGGTACAATGTCATAGAACCGCATCAGGAATTTACGACCCACGTTTGCTATTCCGCGGACATTATCATCACATAGCAATCTTCTATGTCAGCATAACAGAATATCATCTTTGATGCTGAATATCTTTGTTTACATGTCTATATAACAACTCTGAAGATGGCTCATGTGAGCCGAAAGGTTAGATCAAGGAACAGCTTATAAAACAATATCCAAATTTTGGACAATTTTTGCCTTTATTTTATCCCGAAATTAAAGCAAATATACGGCGATTTGAACGCCCCAAACATAACAAACTTTCATTTTCTGTTATATTTATTATATTTAACAATATATGTTTAAATAATTATCTGCCTTTATTCCTACATATATATATATATATATATATATATATATATATATATATATATATATATATATATATATATATATATATATGTGTGTGTGTGTGTGTGTAGTATTGGGGCAATAGTAATGGTACCTTAAAGTGGTCTGTTTTTTTTAATTATATATATATATATATATATATATATATATATATATATATAAATCGAAAGGTGGTTCACGTGTGTTTCTTATAACATGTAGATTATGTAGATTTATTAGGCCGGTTAAGAAAAGTTTGTGGAATAAAAAGCCACCAAAATGTTACCAATGCTGTCATTAAATTATATTTTGAAAATAATTCTATGTCAATTACCTGATAGCGCACGAAGAGAAAGATTTAATGGCGGAATTTTCGAACACGCCTGTGATCTTTTTCAACGATACAAGGAATTAAAAATGTAGTGGCACTTACACTTCCAAAGAATCTTGTTGGTTGAGGAGTCAACATGTGCATATTATGACTGAGTAAACCCGGATACTCGTTTAACCCAACAATATTTGAATTTATTTTCAAAAATTTTTTACCTCCGATCAGCGTGTTTCTACTCAGTCGTTGATTGAGTCCCATCTATCTATCTATCTATCTATCTATCTATCTATAAATCCCTGTCTCTCTCTCTGATATATATATATATATATATATATATATATATATATATATATATATATATATATAAAGTGAACATTGAAGTCAAGACTGAGATGCGACAGGCTGTTTCATGCTGGACGCAATCGTCAGGCGGCCTGAAGATTGCGTTCAGCATGAAACAGCCTGTCGCCTCTCAGACTTGACTTCAATGATCTCATTTATATTCATGTTTACATCCGCTCTATCTCTGATATTGAGCACTTTATCCCATAAATATAGCATTTTTTTAAGCGTTTCACCCCAAGAAAGGCGGGAAGCCACTAGGAGGCAAGAGGTTACAGAAAATTTGGAGCATGATCAGATAGGAATGATAGAAGAAAGGATGAGGAGAAGAGTAATGGATAGATCAAGACAACTGGAGATGTCGATTGACATTACATTTGAACAGCTGGAGATTATAGCTCTCAGGGAAACTGGAATAGGGAAGGGAGTTCCACAGGCGAGAGGTGCGAGACATGAAGCTATTGGAGTAGAAGAGACGGCTACATTTAGGAGTTTCGACAGTGAAAGGGTGAGAGCAGGATTATATATATATATATATATATATATATATGTATGTATTTACACCCAGTTTATACATATACAGGATGTAAGTGAAAAAATGAACAAATCATGTAACAGCATGCAATAATTATCTATCCTACAAAATGTTTAATATTTTAAAAACAAACCACTAAACTAATTGTGGTTCATTTTCCGGGTTTTTCGGTTGAGTCGATTAGCCATCTTGACATAATTTGAGTTATTCAGCTAGAAAGATAACAGGATAAAAGCGTTTTGTTCCAGTCTTATTGTCTTCTCAACTGAGCAATGGTGAGAGGAACAAAATCATCAATTATCTATATATCTCTCTGTTTATCTATTTACCTGTTTGGCCGATCCGCTGTGGTGTTATGGTTAACATGTTGATCTCCTCAAATCAATTACAACGGAGGTGTGAGCTCTATTCACAATCGTTGCGACATAATTAATCAATACTTACATCTATATTTCATATAAATATATATATATATACACACACATATATCAGTAAATAATTTAATTTTTAAGTGTTTATTAAATTCAAGCGACAAGGTCTGTCTGCTTAATTTTTTTATTATATTTTCTAATTTCAGAATAAGTTGTCGAAAATTCTTCGTGATTATTCGCAAATGGGAAAATATAATAAATTTAACAATGCCTATAGGTAGAATTCACTAATATGTGTCTCATACATACATATATATAAACACACACACACATATATATATATGTGTCTGTGAGTGTGTATATATAAAGACATTTTTATGTTTATACATTCTTTTTATAGATACAAATATGTAAGTAAATGCTCTGTTTGTAATAAACAGTATTAAACAACATTTGCCGGCCTGAATGTCCGAGAAATTTTCATAGAAAACACGCGTCCTCCGACAGGAATTGAACCTGTATCCTATATGGAACCGTCATATAGCCTGAAGTGCTTTTACAGATTGAGCCACAGTGGAGCGTTTCGGTTACCAAGGTCGATTTTAATGTTTTTAAACTAACAATTCTCCATGGTTTTCTCGCATAAATTCATATCTGCTCGATGCGTATCCAAATGTAAACATATGTCGTCACACATTATGAAATGGATAAAGTCCGAGATTTATTTTAAGACATTTTTTACGTTGTATCTATAAAAAGAATGTATCGACATAAAAAAATCTCTTAAAATAATTGTCGGACATGGTCCATTTCATAATCTATATATATATATATATATATATATATATATATATACAAACGTAATGAGAACGAAGATGGTAGTCATTCTTGGTTCTCACCTGTAGAGATGCACGTGCATCAAAACAAAATGTACCTTTGTACTGAGTAAGTTGTTTTTTGTCCGTATGCAAAACTTATATATATATATATATATATATATATATATATATATATATATATATATATATATATATATATATATATAAATGAAGATTAATAAAATCCGACAGGATTATAAACTAAAAGAATAAATACGAATTTTTTTCTTATAAATTTACCATGTTACGGTTTGATTTAAGCTTCATCAGATTTCTTTTCTTTTCTTGTATATATATATATATATATATTGGTGTGTGCGTCTGTGTGTATGTACGTCTCTGTGTATATGTGCGTATGCCTCTTACTGTCATTGTGTGATACCAGTTCGTAGTACCCTTACTGTTTTTGCGAAGGAATGAACATAGTTCTCCCTGCGGATTGGTACCCTGGCAAAATGTTGCAACACGATAGTCAGCAAGTAAGATAGTAAATATGGAGAAGACCTGCTTTGATGGTTGTATCAATAGAAAGCTTGTTTCACATTTTGTGAATCTTGTCAGTACGTCTAATCGTGAAGTTTTCGACATGAGCAAGGTGGCCTACCTAAAGAAACCAAAATGTATGATCTTTTGGTCGAGCTGGGAAATTTTGAAGAGAGACGGACGGAGAGAAGAACAGAAAGAAAGAGGAAGAAATAAAAAGAAAACGAAGTTTTTTATTATTATTAGTATTAAAAACGACTGAGAAAGCTTTATTGCTTCTTTCGTCATCTTCTCTATAGTGATGAAATTTTCTTTCGAATGTCTCCATAAAGGCTGAAAAGTAACAAATTTTTAATGCAACATGTACCTTTTGCTAAAATAGAGTTAGATAGATAGATATATAGATAGACAGATAGATAGACTGACAGGTAGATATATATATATAGATAGATAGATAGATAGATAGATAGATAGATAGATAGATATGAGCAGACTGTGAGAGAAATTGATTAGCAGATATGAGAAGACAATAATAGCTAATCAACAGATTAAGATAGATAAGTAGATAGACAGATGTGAACAAAATGAGATTGATTGATAGAGAGATTGATAGAGACATGGGCAGACTGTGTGAGAGAGAAATAAGCAGAGCAGATAGAGATAAATGGATTTGATGATATATATATATATATATATGCATATATATATATATATTTGTGCGCATGTTTGTGTGTGTGTGCATATGTGTATGTGACAGAGAGACGTGTACAATGATTTTTTTTAAATTGAAAATAACTCGCAAATCAAACATCCTATCTATCTATCTATCTATCTATCTATCTATCTATCTATCTATCTATCTATCCAAGTCTGTTTATATCTATCTATCTATCTATCTATCACAGTCTGCACATTATCTATCTCAGTCAGTTTTCATCTATCTATCTATCTATCTATCTATCTATCTATCTATCTATCACAGTCTGCACATTATCTATCTATCTACGTGTGTCTGTGTCTGTGTCTGTGTGTGGGAGAGAGAAACAGACAGACAGATAGACAGCAGCAAGCTAATATGGATACACATAAAGGTATACGATAGATGTAATCACAGACAGACAGTCAGATAGATAGATAGATAGATAGATAGATAGATAGATAGATAGATAGATAGATAGACAGAAACAAACAAACTGATATAAATGGGAACTAACCGGCATCGGTAGATAGATAGATAGATAGATAGATAGATAGATAGATAAGCAGGAAGAGACTGAGATAGATAGATAGATAGATAGATAGATAGATAGATAGATAGATAAGGGAAGAGGCTGGATAGATAGATAGATAGATAGATAGATAGATAGATAGATAGATAGATAGATAAGCAGGAAGAGACTGAGATAGATAGATAGATAGATAGATAGATAGATAGATAGATAGATAGATAGATAGATAGATAAGCAGGAAGAGACTGAGATAGATAGATAGATAGATAGATAGATAGATAGATAGATAGATAGATAAGCAGGAAGAGACTGAGATAGATAGATAGATAGATAGATAGATAGATAATGAAAATATTCAGAGGGATAGATAGATAGATGAATAGATAATGAAAATATTCAGAGGGATAGATAGATAGATAGATAGATAGATAGATAGATAGATAGATAGATAGATAAGTGCGAACAAAATGAGATATATAGAGATAAATATCAACAGACTGTGAGAGACGGAGATGTAGAATGTTTGACAGATATTAAACACATTTTAATAGACAGATAAATTGATAAATAGTTAGATAGATATGCGGATAGATAGATAGATAGATAGATAGATAGATAGATAGATAGATAGATATAGAACGAGAGAGAAGAACAGACTGATAGATATAAATACTCAGAGATCTATATTTAATAATCTTAGCATTATCTAGTACAGGGCATAGCCGTGATATACCGACAGGTGATGCTTAATCTATTCGAATCTTGCAGTACCAGGATTTTCACGGGATCGAATTAGCAATGGGAAATTGGTACTGGACCAATTTTCAAAGTTAGATGTATATTGTATATAACATGAAATGGGAAATACTATTTTCTTTACATTACCGTAAACTCAAGTACCTACCGTCAATGTAAAATTTGTATATATATATATATATATATATATATATGCATACAACTTTTTATTTTTTCCGATTAAAACTTACTATATATATATATATATATATATATATATATATATATATATATATATATATATATATATGTGTGTGTGTGAAAAGTGTATATAAATATAAATAAATATAAGTATGTATAATTATTTATATATTATATGCGCGGTACTTATTAGAAAGCGCTCAATATCAGAGATAGAGCTAACATATATATATATATATATATATATATATATATATATATATATATATATATAAATTAATGAATAGATATGTTTCACTTCAGCACAACAGGGAATTTCATGCGCAACGCAATCTTCAGGTGCTGAATTAAGATTGACTGTTACATAATTAAAATTGTTTGTTCAGTGTATCGGATTTTTGTGAGGTACGACTGACATGCGAAATTAAAAAAATATTTGACATAAATGAGAGAATTAAAAAAAATTTCCCGCTCGTTCGTATTTTTCTATTTTGGCATAGACTTTCAATATATATATATATATATATATATATATATATATATATATATTTTTGATAATAAGTGCGACATTACTGTAATTATTGAACAATATAGTTCATGCCACTTTGACAGAAAATTTACCAGTAAAAAATTGTTTATCACTATATTTGTACTTGAACGCACAACTGTAAAAAATTTGAAATCAAACTCAGCGTTGCTACTGCATAAAAAACAATAACTCATTTCCAATAGCTTTTCGGATGAACAATACATATATTTTTCGTTGTCCTCTTATTACTAAGAAAAAAACAAAACAACATCTATTCCATACCTGTAGATGTCTGTAGGAACAGACGAAAGCTTAGTAAAAATAAAACTAATGCAGCAAATTTATAAACAAGGATCTTTTTTCATAACGGATTCGGAGGTTTTTTGCAATTATTTGAATTTTTGCGACGATGGATTTCAACAATTAAATCATTATATTTTCATTTGTTTTGTGTGTATAATTCATGAATATATATATATATATATATATATATATATATATATATATATGTATATTACCAATTTGTGCATCTATTCCGATATTAATCCAGGGAGAACTCAATGTAGACTGAATAATAATATAATAATAATAATAATACTCAAGAAGGAAAATTTAAAGATTCGTCTCGGTTATAATTTATTTCGTGGATATCTGTATGTTCATCTCTTCAGAACAAATTCCCTTAGTCTATGGAGACAATATCACAGACTGATATATTAAATTGACGGGTGGAAGGGAAAGCAAGAGAGAGGAGAAGAGAGAAGAAGGGAAAGGTGAAAAGTGAGGGATGGTCAAGTTCAAGTATGATAGAGAGAAGGTATGGAAAGGAAAGTGAAGAAGGAATTAATGAATGGCTAGTAGTAAGCCTAAAAAGACTTTTTTCCCGTAAAATAGGGTACTTTATACAAGAATTATATAGTCCGATTAGAATATATTATTATTTTGTTTTCTAATTACATGTACTACTTGGGGCAAAATGGATAAATACATCCTTTTTATTGGACTTTTATCGTAAATTAATATCATAAAGAAACAAAAAACAGGCAATAATATTGATTTTATAAAAAAAAACACCTGAATTTAAAAAAAAAGAACATATTGCGTAGAAACTATTTAGAAGTGATCCCAGCAAATATTTTACCATCTATAAACACACGATCAAACACACTTTATTATATCGCCAACGATATTTAGTCTCCCCCCACGAGGGCATCATGTGGCACAAGGCCGGTTTAACGTGGGATCTCCGAGCCCGTGGGCTCGTTAAAGAATATGCCCATTGGACCCGTATAGACGTGTTCAGGGTCGGTTTACCTCCCCGAAAGAGAATCCGCCCTTCGGCGTAGCTTGTTTCGAGTTCCTCCCCGCCCGAAGGCAGAGAGTTCAACCGATCAGCCAGTCGACTGTCGACATTATATCGCCAACTTTTATAAAATCTATACTTAAAGAAATTAAGATCTGTTCGCTTACAAACGCAACAGATGTAACTGTCTATATTTCTGAGGTGAGGTATTATGTATTATTTACATTATTCGGACTATTGTCCTCATCTTCGTCGCCATATTAATTACAAGGTTTCGGCCGTTGTACGCTCCGGCCTTCTTCAGGTGGTTGTAATGTCGAACTGAAACCTTTATTTCGCTCAATGCGCTCACTGGAGACAATATCACAGACTGATATATTGGATTGACGGGGGTGGGGGAGGGAAAGCAAGAAAAATGAGAAGGGAGAAGGAGGGAAAGAAGAAAAGTGAGAGATAGTCAAAAAAACTGTGATAGAGAGAGGGGATGGAAAGGAATGTGAAGAAGGAAGTAATGAATGGGTAGTAGTAAGCCTAAAAAGACTGACCCGGCCATATATATATGTATATATATATCCAAGTATATAATTGGTATATACAGAATGAATTCCAATAACCAACAATTACTATTCTTAAAAAGAGTGCTCAATACAAAGTAGAGCAGATATAATTATTATTTATAAAAAAAATTATAACATAAGTATGTTATAAAACCACTACAAAAATAGCCATTTTGTTTCCCGTCAAGACACAGGGTTTTTATAAAATACTTATTTTATAACTTTTTATAAATAAATTATATATATATAGATATTTAAAGATATTTTTGTAGGTACAAAATTTAATGATCGAAATAAAAAGTATAAAAATTTAATATTACAAGACATATTAAAACAATATTAAATAATAAAAAAAAAAAACAACAAAAAGAATTTTGTTTCGCCCCCTGCTCTTCAAAATACGATTCAAAATTAAAACAGAAAATGTACAGTAAGAATAGGTGGAAATATATATATATATATATATATATTTGTATATATGCAAGAAGGAACTAGGAGATGAAAACACTCACGTTGTTTACATTGCGGGACCCGATATATATATATATATATATATATATACTAGGTGTAAGAGCCTAATTGCACATCCCATAAAATGTTTAATATCTAAAATATCACTAAATAAGTTTAATTTTTTCCAGGTTTTCAGATAAGACGTTTAACCATCTTAACACAATTTCTCGAAAGAATCAGCGATAAAACCTTTCAGTTATTCAGTTAGAATGTGAACAGTTTAAAATCGTGTGTCAGCCCTGTCGAACAATCACGTGGTCAAGATAACCACTCAGTTGTGGAGCAAGCTGAGTGAAGCACTAATTCAACATAGAGACAGAGCTATTTATGGTGCAATGGAGCATCTCATTATGCTAAAGTGGGATAGTCCATTGCTTGGGCTGTGATTGGCTGCTGGTACCTGAGTGGAAGTATTACTATATAAATACTAGCATGATTTCTCAGTTTGCAGGATATGTATTAAGTTACAACCTGCTTTATTTTTTTTGTCTGCCAACTGGACGCTAGTTGGAACTCTTACGCCGGTAAGTGCTTTTTTATTATTGTTATTCTACATCTCCTTCCCCCATCGCGTGTGGGTAAGGGATGAGTTCCTTTAAACCTGGCTGGTTGTGGAAGTAGTCTGGACAATGCCCGAGGGTTTTGTCCGTGTTATTGTAGACGGCTGAGCAGTGTTTGATGTTATTCCAGCGTCGACTGTTTGTTGCACTGGTGTAGGGGTCTCGGTATTGCACTTTAACTGGAATTGTTGGTGTATCCAGTTTCCTGAGAAATCGGCGATTTCGTGAATTCTACCTGATCCGTCAACTCTGATACGGTATTGGTGGTTGGGAGGGTTTCAATGGTTGTGTCCCATCGACGGGTTGTTGGTCTTTGTAGTGCCTATTGTCCTTTTGAAGGGGTTTAAAGTGTGTGCTGTTCTGTTGTATCGCTCTATTAGACGAGCGTTCCATTGGGACAAACTTATCTCACGATTTTGTGCTGCGGTTATCAATTCGTGGCTTATAGAGTGTTGGGTGGGATGGTATGTAGTCACGTAGTCGGCGGTGGAGTAGTAGTTGAGCAGGGATAGCCCAATGTTTTGAATGGGCGTATTCCTGTATTGGAGGATAGCTCTTGCTGCACGGTTATTATCCAATGATCCTTGGGCTCCTGTGTTGCCATTTACGATTCTCTTGGCTGTTTTTTGACAGCGAGCTCTGCTCGACCATTGGATTGTGGGTAACCAGCAGATGATAACCTTTGTTTAACAGCCAGTCTTGCAAAAATTGCTTGAATGGAAGAGATGTGAAGGGTGGCCCACCATCCTGCTGAGTTCCTCCAGGAGCGCCGTAGGTTTGAAATATGTCTCGGCAAATCGAAATAATCCTTGAGGGCATTAATGGCTCAAGTGGTATAGATTCAGCCAGCCGTTAACCTGTCAGCGCATGCTAAGTAACCATGGTTTCCAACATGGAAGATGTCCATGACGATTTGCTGAAATGGCCAATCAGGAGATGGTGTCAAATTGATTGGCTCTTTTGGTTGACTCAGGGCAATTTTTGAGCAGAACGTTACAACCTGCTCTAATATTACGAATTGAAGCGTTCATCCCCGGGCCAATAAACAGATTCATTGGCACGTGCCTTCATCTCAACTTCGCCTTGATGTGCAGAATGTAGGCTATGTAATATTTTTGCGCGTTGTGAGGTGGGGATAACAATTCTTTGATCTAAGAGCACTAACCCGTCGTCAACACTTCCTCACTTCCCAATATTCGCGTTTCAGGTGCAGTGAGGATGCGCGTTCTTTGGAATCCGTTTTGTATTACTTCTATTAATTTTTTGTATTGCGGGTCGCTGCGTCCCGCCATGCGGATAACGTCTGCTGAGATGAGCTCCAGGTTGTCATTTTGCACCGAATGTTGCTAATAAAGTTTTGATTTGACCCAGTCATCCATGTTGTCAGACTCTATGATGTCTGATTGAGAGGGTTCAGCAGTGAATACATTTAGGAGTGCCTGTGAGATGTCTGCTGGGTTACGAGACAACATCGGAGGCTCTGTGCCATTTCCCAGGCAGTGCTGAATGGTGAATCTGTACCTGAGGGTTTTCTCCTTTAACCTGAATAATCAGGGGTTTTGGATTTTACTAAGGTCTCTATCTCGAATAATCCTTTTAGTGGTTCATGAGGTAACCACACTATGAGATTCAGGCAACCCATTACAAAAATCCGACATTTTTCCAATGCCCATGCAATTGCTGCTGCTTCGCCTTCAATAGGTGCATATCTGCGTTCAGCATCAATGCAGAATCTGCTACCAGCAAATATCAGGCGCCAACCTTCAGGGCAGCAAACTGGGGCTTTGTCAGTGGTGCATGAGCAATACTTCTGCAAAGTAGGAAGCCCATTCCGTCTTTGCTCCAATCTGGGGCAAGGCAGGTTATTCTTTCTTTTTGAATGTTGCGATGCCTTTTCGGACTAAGTCAACTATGACCTTCTTTGACTGCTGGAATGCATCTTCCAGGCTTTTATTCCATGTAAGAGTGTGAGTCTCGTTTTACGAGATCACGAAATGGAAGCCTGGGCTTAGTGAATATGCTTAAGCGACTTGGTTGACCAGCCCAAACCATGATCTGGCATCGGTGGAGTGTTTTGGTATTGGGAAGCTCAATATTGCCTCCAGCATGGATTTAGAAGGGGTTACACCAGAAGATGTTATTTGAGGCCCCCAAACTGCACCGTGTCTTGGCAAAATTGGAATTTTTCTCTATTTATTACGATGCCGTTTTTTTGCACAATGGAGGAGAAAATCGAAGGTGTGAAAAAAGGCTCCTTCGATGTCAGAGTCATAGAGTAGGGGTGTCATCCACGATTTTTACTTTGCCGGGGATGTCTTTTATTACTTCATCATACCTTCGGGTGTAGGCATCGCCAGATGCTAGGTGTAACCTTGTGGCATCCTCAGGTACATGACCTTCCCCATTCTGTGATGAAGGTGGTGAGTGGCTGGGACTCTTTATCTAAGGGATGGAATGATATCCATCAACAGCATCCAACACCGTTTTCTTTTTTGTTTAGGTGGCACTTAGAAGTGCTAGCTGGAATGGTGACCCTGTATGGTGTGTGTTTCCCGTTTACTGTGAATTCAGGTGTTGGTAGTCTTGGTTCTTCGTGGTTTGCCATTTTTTTGCAGTAATTACCATAGTGCTACACCAATCAGCAGGCATGCCAACAGGTACTGGGGTTATGATACCTTTTCACATCTTCCCAAAGGGCCTGTCTTACGGGCTCTTTGAAAAAAACACAGGAATGGGTTATGTCTTGCTTTGGGGACTGCTCCTTCTTTGAGGTGTATATGTGCAAGACATCGGTGGGAATTCCTTGAACGCCGTTTCGGCAAATTGATTTAATTTCTTGAGCTTATCAATGTTTTGTTCTGTTGGAAGAAAAGGGCGTGTTGGGATTGTCCCTCGATTTGCATTGTTTAGGGCTCACGTCCGATTTTTTAAAGGGCATGTGTTGCATTGTTGTTTGGGGTAATATTGTAGTTGTTGGCTTCAGGAAGTCTTTGGACAGTATCCCCACATCAATGCAGGCTGCTTTGTTGAAAGTAATACAATCTTTTTTTGCATATGTATAGGGCTTGTTTAGTTGTTCTTCCTTGACGATGAATTCCAACCCTGACATACGAAAAGCCTCCCACAGCTCGGACGACTTTTCTTGATGGAATGATTGTCGATAGTGAGCCCCATATTCAGAAGGTGCTTAAGTCCCCTGAGACATATGGTGGCCCCCACTGTCAGGAAAGATTGTCATCCTAGTGCTGTGATTTCTGGGGATATTCTTAATTTGTCTGGGATCCGGTTTTGGCGAAAATGGAACAACATATGCATCAATTTCCTTCTGGCCTGTGTCTTTAGACGTATAAAGGTGATGTGGGCGATAAGTGTGTCCATGGCGGCTTCATTAGCCTCTAGGCTTTCCTGACCGCTTGAGCTGGTTTCTTAGCCCGGCATACCCTCGATAGGTGATTGGGCTTCCCACAATTACTACATGTTTGTCCCCATGCTGGGCATTTTAGCCGGCGTGATTCAGTTCCTGAATGCTGGTGGCTGCCACAACCTAAAGCAAGCCTGGTGGTTTGGTTTAACATTGCAGTTGCAATAGGTGCTGGTACGGATCGCCTCGTTGGCTTGTGGTGTACCCTTCTGTCTGCGGTATGTTGATAGCCGAGCAGCAGCTGTATTTGAAACACTGGCCATTGAGGTTTGGTCCCGCAATGCTGATTCAAATGCCTCAGCATGACGGATATTTTGTTCAAATATTTAAGTGCCCTAGCTTTGGCCAGTAGGTCAGCCTGGAGTGTGTCATTTGCTATTCCACGGATGATCTGGTCCTTGATGTATATATCAGACAGGTCATGTTCACGAGGGGCAGGTAAAGTTACAATCAGCGGCTACAGCTCTGGGGCACAAGGTAACTTTGTAGGCTCATCAGCATCCTGAGACATGGAGGCAAAAGCAAGGCGATGGACAATAGGACTTGACCTCTGGGTGACCAACACTTCTACCATGTCAAGGGATTATCTGGATCAGTGGTAAAGAAGTCAGGGTGTGTGTTGATTATATCATCATATAGGTGAATATTAGCTTGGGAGTTTGGCATATTTGTCATCTTGGTAAAGACATCCCAGTCAATTCGGAACTTCCTGAATTGCTGTGGTGTCATCTCGAAGATTGAGATGAGGAGGGCTTGGCTGCTAGTGCCTGAATGCGGGTTGTCTGGGTGGTGGATTCCTTAGCCTGCTTAATGATACACAGGGCATTAATGTGACCCCCATAAGCAAATCGATCCAGCATTTGAAGGCTCTCGATTGTCAGCTAAAAAACCTTGTTGCATGAGTTTTGGCCGAGTCGGTGGATATTGCTTCAATGAAGAAGAGTTCCCAATTTTCAGGTGTCATAAATCCTGTTCACAGCGCCATGTCGAACAATCACGTTCAAGATAAGTTGTGGAGCGAAGCATTAATTCAACATAGAGAAGGAAATGATTTATGGTGCAATGGAGCATCTCATTATGCTAAAGTGGGATAGTCCATTGCTTGGGCTGATTGGCTGCTGGTACCTGAGTGGAAGTATTACTATATAAATACTATTTCAGTTTGCAGGATATGTATTAAGTTACAACCTGTTTATTTTGTCTGCCAGCTGGACGCTAGTTGGAACTCTTACGCCGGTGTCTTTTATTATTGTTATTCTACAAGCCCCACTATGTCTTCCTAAATGAGCAATGGTGAGAGGGAAAAGATGATTCAGTCTTTCAGTAATGGTAGCAACATTCATACTCTGGCTTTCATCTTCAAAGTCCATTCAAGAACCATCAAGAGAACGGTGAATAAGTTTTAAAAAAATGGATGAGTAGAGAGGAAAACTGGATTAGGAAGTCACAATGGCCAGAGAGATAATCATTTCAACTTAGAGCTAAATAGATCAATTAGAAAAGATCAAAATCAATCCATAAGACTTTTGGCACGTGAGAGACGAGTTTCAGCTATGACAGTTCAAAGAGTAGTTGAAAAAGACTTGAAAATGAAATCGTATGTGAAATGTGTGAAGCACTTTGTTACTTCATGATACAAAGTTAGAAGATTAGAGAGGCCGAAGATCATTTTAAATAAGTTAGAAAATTACCCTGGAATAATATATACTTATTTGCACTTTATATCTATCTATAATGGGCTTCTAATCCTTAGCTATAATTAATTAATAATGAACATATCATTTTCGTTTATGATCGATTTCATCACGATTCTTCTGTTAAGCTTGGAGAGTAATTAGACATGCTTATTGATCAAAGTAGAATACAATAGTCTTATAAAAATCTCGGAGAATTCCAGTAAGATGTTTTTAATCATTTTTAAGATACAACGTTTGAAATCTTAATATAAGGTTTGGTCAATTATTTTGGATACACAAACACACACACAAAGATAGATAGATAGATAGATAGATAGAGAGAGAGAGAGAGAGAGAGAGAGAGAGCTATTTAATATATTAAAAATGTACATAATACCCTGCATTTATTGCACAACTCGGAGTTTCATGCCTTCTCAAATTTGTGCATTTATTGTAGGGTATTATATATATTTTCTAACACACACACACACACACACACATATATATATATATATATATATATATATATATATATATATATATATATATATGTATGTATGTACATAGTTGGATATTTAGGCAGCAATCCTTCCTTTATGCATGTTTCATTAAAAACGACAGACAAGGTACAACAGTTAAGCTTTTTATTTAATTTTTCTTGTGTTCTGACAAGAGCTTTCTTTTCTGGACAAAGGATGTGTAAGAACTGTCCAAATGTTTTATATTTCCGAGCGCTTTCGGCTATGCCTTTAGCCATTATCAAGGATGATTCGATTATCAGCTTAATTGAGTGTGTGTGTTATGTGTATGTCTTAGTGTGTGGTGGGGATGTTTTTAATTTCCGAATACGGTTAGCACATTGTGGCTTTGTTCGTAGTTAATATTGTTAAGAGTTGGCTTTTTTCCTTTTTTATTATTAAAGCTTCCATTATTTTTAGTCTTTTTTTGCAGGTGAATGCAGTTAATATATTTGTGTTTTCTACTAGTATGTTCCAAATGGAGACTGTTAAATTTGTGTGTGTGTTTAAATGGGTTCTAATGGAGCTGTGATCAGATAGCTGTAACGTAAGATATATATATATATATATATATATATATATATATATATATATATATCAAGTTTAGGATTGGTATATACGGAATAAATTTCAATAACCATCAAATACTGTTCTTAAAAAAGTGCTCAATACAGAGTAGAGCATATATATATATATATATATATATATATATATATATATATATTTTAACATCGCACATTTAATGATGGCGTGAATAAATTATGCTTAATGCAATATAACAGAGGTATAAATTATATTTTAATAAATATTAATTTTATTTTTCTAACCGGTAGCAAAGCTCTGAATTCCATGCAGAACGCAATCATCCGGTGCTGAATTGAGAACTTGAAGGAAGTAATTTGTATGGATCCGTTTGCCGTATTTTCTGCCTATTTTACATACGAATTATTTATATTT